TGTAGAGAGTCTCATCTTGTAGAGAATTTAATTCTCTACAAAATTGATATAAATTTATAACCTTAAACTTAGTTTTTGCTAGAAAAAATAATTAAATACCAGAACCAATGATTCATCTCATAGGTAAGGTCTCAAAAGTCCATTCTCAAATAGAATCTTTTTCGCATAAAAAGATTGCATAGTTTTGTTCAGTTTTCGATACTCTTCTTCATAGACTAGTTGGTTTTGAGACTGATTGCATTATTCAGTACCACCAACAGAACCCAACTTTGAAAAGTAATTTTAATACTATGGTTCAATGATAGATAAATATTTGTTTTTTCTTTGTTTTTGAAAATATAGACCACAAATTTCTGCATCGGTTGGTATATGTTTCAATTTTCTTTAAACAACAACACTACGTCAGAAAATGCAAAATACTAAAGGTGTCTTAAAATTATGGCTGCAAGGACAAAATTGTTTTCAGCATAACTCATCCAAAACGCAGCTGATTTTGCAAGTTTTTTTTCAGTTTACATAGGCATTAGCACGATCTTTTTAACACTGAAAGAATCAGGTCTTTACATATAAATGCGGCTGAGTTATAACAAAAACAAATGTGTCTTAAAATTATGCTCTTCCTCCTACTTTATACATATGAAAAAGTGAAGCAACACGCTCTTAAATAACAAGACTACCGTAAAAAAATCCAAACAAAATATTAAATAATACGTACAGACGAAAACAAAATACAGTGTGCACAATATTGCAAAATCCATTTGCTTTCATTCATTTGAATAATAATACAGACAGACAATAGCCTTTATCTAATCGTGGCAAAGTAAACAGAGGCAAGACACACGTGGCCGATGGTAATATGCAAATAACTTCGCTTGATTAGACGTGACAAGAGAGAAATGAGCAAGACAAACAGTAAACACATAGAAAGCAGACAAGCAGAAGAGAGAAAAAAGTAAAGGATGGTATCTGTACGCACATTTTTTCTTCGTGTGATCGAAAAAGAGACAAGTAAGCAAGGTGTGAAAGGCTCCACCATTATAGTATATTACACTTTTTTTTCCTTTTTCGTTTCTCTTTCTTCTCTCTTCTCTTTCTCTCTAGATTCACATGGATGATCCGTAAACGGCGGTAAACCGTGAAAAAACGATGGTTTTACGGAAATCCGACATTTTTTGCATACGGGTACCAGTAAACAATATAGATACAGATATATTACGGGTCATTTTACAGGACCGTTTGTCGAACCCCACTTACAGTTCGTGACTGAATACCGTTTATACACCTTTTTTAACAGTTTTTTTGTTAAAGATTTCGATAAGACTTTATGTTATATATCGAGTAACTGTTTCAGTGACGTTCACTTTTTTCATAAAAGGTAAATGAATTAATAAACGCTACACATAACATGTTACAAAATCTGTGTCCAGGTAAAAAAATCACGATCCTGAACAATCGTATAGCACGAAATAGTAGAAACGGTCGTCTTATACAATGAACGTATACGATGCCATACTTTTAAATAGGATTAACGTATATGTTGAACATAAACGACTCCCGCACATGACTGTAGTATGTGATCGTATATGGTTGGAACTTAGTCATGAGTTGAATTACATTTGCTCATCATACAGCTAGTGTTTATTGGATTCAACAACGAATCCACTAGTAAGTATTAATTAAATGAATAAATTTTATTTGTAGTACTTTCATTATTTCGAACGATAAATTGACCGGTAAGGATTTCTTTATTTAAATAATGATTATTTTCTTATTTTTAGATTATTATCAAAGATAAATCGAACAGTAAGTATTTATTTGAATAAATGATTTTTTTTTCTTTATTTTAGGCCAGTATCCACGTCGAATTGAGTAGCAGATATATTTTTATATAAATAATTTTTTTTCTTTATTTTAGGTCAATATTAACGTCGAATTCAACAGTATTTATTTATTTATTTATTTACATAATTTTTATTTTTATTATCAGGTTATTTAGAATAATAAATCAAACAGTAGATATTTTTTCATTCAAAAAAATTTTGTTCTTTTTTATTTTTAAATTATTATCAAGAATAAACCATACAGTTAATATTAGTCAAAATAAATGGGCTGTCAAGCCTGCGGAAGGTCTCCATTTTTTCTTCTTATGCCGCTTCTATGATATCATAGCACTTATATGAGGAGAAAAGAGAATTGGGACCTTCGAGCAGGTTGGACAACTCAAACATTAGCTTCTGTATTATTTGGAGAGTAGGAAGGAGGAAGTATGAGACGCTTAGAGAAATACAATGACAAACGACGTCGTATACGACTATTTTAATGCTCGTTCTCGGTAATTGAAAACAAATACATACCGTAAACGGATATAATACAGGATGTTTACGGTGGCTTTACGATATAAGACAGCTAACGGTATTTTATCTGTAAAGTTGGAGAAAATGGCCAAATACAGTCCGTTTACCATATGGATATAAAACGATGCGTATTTCAGCGCCAGATAATAGGGATATAGTACGGACCAAAAACGAGCCGTATGCACTCGTTCTACTGTTGTAAATGTTCCGTTTTTGTGTACTCAAAAAGTGAGTACACTCTAGAATCGGTCAGTGTGTCTGTCTGTTCGGCCGTTTACACGATAATTTTCGAAGGGAGAGTTCGATCACGATGAAATTTTCTACACAGTTTCGTCTCATCAATATCTCGGTTGAGTTCGAAGATGAGAATGATTCGTTGAGCCATTGCTGAGTTATCGCAAAAAGATTCATTATTCCCTATGCTTTTCTATGGGAATATTGACCTATCCTGGTTGTCGTAAAAAACATTTCCTCTCATAATCAAACAAAACCCCAACTATTACATACCATTCGATAGAGAATGTCACGAGCTACAAAATGGAATGTGAAACATTTAGAAATAAGAAGGTTAACTCACCTATTGCAAAGATACTTCAATGGAAATCGGTTCTATTTTTGCCTTCGCTCCAATTGATCGAAAAGTAAAGCTCCATCTTCCGATCACAGAAATGATACTTAGAGATTTTCTAGTACGGAGAACTCGAATCTGACAATGGAAGGGTGCGAACTATTGAGCGAAAAGATTGACTATATTCAGGCCAAAAGAAAGCTTTCAGCGAGAAATTAACGAATTTAAAATATGAGCTACGTATGGTTTACCTGGAAAGAAGTATTCAATTTTTAAGTTATGTACTGTTAGGGTATACAAGAATAACAATATATGAATTAGTCACATTAATCGTTTAATATAATCATCAGATTGTTAAGAAGTGAGTTTCTAAAATCTAGGTGAGATTTATTGACAATATTGAGACCTCTCTAGGTATAACTTTCGAAGTTTGATAGTATTGAATTCAAAAAGAATAGTATTATGTTTGAATATTGTTCATATGTAAGATATTCAAAGTGCAATTGCATTGATGCTTCACTTCATAATTTATTATATATTTCTTTGTAATTGGTCTTCGTAAGTATTAATCATATGCGCATTCGAAGTAAAGTCTTTTCTTATTTATCATCACGATTAACACTTAAAACGATTATCCTTGTCGAATAAAAAGATGAATTTGGTGAACATTGCGAAACATCTTCCCCATTTAACACAAATAGATTTTTTCTTTGAAGATTCAACAATAACTACGGATGAAATTTTCGCTTCACAAAACTTGTTCGAAATTTTAAAAACATTTAAAGATAGTTACTTTAATGAACTATATACTTATCAAAGTCTCGATTTTCATGACGAATATGATGAAGCCTCGGATGAAGAAGACACCGCTGATGAAAATGAATCAACTGATGAAGAAGAAAATATTGATGATCATGATGAAAATCAATACCTAAACATTCAAAATAGTTTTAGATTAGACGAGATGGAAAATGTAGTGGAATGGGTTGATTAAGATCCAAATTACAAAATTTGTATCTATTAAGCAAAGGTTTCGAAGAGTCAAATACATGCATTACATTACAAGATTTAGAGAATATATTAAAGCAAACGGTACAAAATTAGAAAAAGTAAAAAAAAATCAAAGAATTTATTTGGAATGAATTTTATATGAAAAGAGCAATTGAAAAAGAAACAATTCATGATAGTGATCTGGAGCTTTTTTCAATTCAAAAAGCAAGAGAACTAGATTGGGATACTTCGGAGCTAGATTCAAAGGAAAATTTTAGTTCAACTAAAATCTAACGTCCTCTACAAATTGCAGTAATAGTACTAAATTTAAAAACCTTCTCCGATCAAACCCTTACGTTCTCTACAAACTGCAGTAACTATCTGAATCTTAAAAAGTTTTTATTGCCAAAAAATTAACGACCTCTACAAATTGCAGCATACTTAGTAAAAAAATTAAGTTCTATAAAAATCTTTTAAAACAATTTATTTTCAATATTCGTTCGCAGTGATCGAATTTTTAAAAATTAAATATAAATTTTAATTGTTTTACAAAAAATCAACAAAAGTATCAAATTTAAATCAAACGAAATTTTAAAAATTTTAATTTACTTAAAAATTTGTTTTCTTCATGTTCGCAAATGAGAAGTAGCCATTTTCAACATGTTAATACAGATTGTAAATCATTACGATGAAATGACTTTTTTACGTGGATTATATGATAATTGTAAACATTGACGAATTTTCATTTAAATAAAATGCAATTGATATTGAATTATCTGTGAAATATGGTTGACATAATAATACAAGATGATGATATGACGGATCACGACAACCAGAAAATATTGATAATGTTGATGACATACGTATAAGATATGTATATGTTTGAGCAAATGTACGTGAACATGTTGCAGTAAAATCGTCAACTAATATATCTGAAATATAAGCTATGGATTACATTTTTTTTGTTTTATTTAAGAAGATTCTATGCTAAAGAACTGTTTCCCAAGCTAACCAACTATTTAGAGTATTTTTCTTATGTACAATCTAATGTTTTTATAATGTTGATGAATAGGATTCGTTTTTAAGTATACGTTTTTGATATTGAATATTAAGTTGTTCAATAAGTATAAAAGTAAGAATTGTATGTGGACCAATACGAGAAAAATATGGTGTAAAACCTTTCCAAAAACTGAATACTCCTTCTTGACGGAGAATACGTTGAAATATGTTCTAAAATATAATAAAAAAAACCACAACAAAAGATATGATAGGTTATAAATTATTTAATACTAATCTTGTAGTCAATGAAAATATAATCATAAGCAATCGTTATATTTTTAATATGAAACTCAATCATCAATCTATTTCAGGAGATCTTTATATTTATTTTTAAAAAATTCAGAAATTATTCGAAAGGAAAATGATTTGTTTGATGACAGCTTTAAAAATACCATCTACGGGAGTTAAAATAGAGGTTAGCGATGTGCACCGCGCCTAAAAAATGATGCACGCGCGGCGAAAAAGATGTCGTAAGCATTTAGATAGTGACAGCGGCCACCGCATTAAAAGCTTTTTCGTCGAGCGTGGCAGCTGCGTCGCATTGCGCCGTCGAATGGCCGCTCCTAGCTAAATGAAGAGTTCTTTTGATGATTTTTTTTCAGGAGTTTATCGCATCAATGTTTCTGGATATATAGTGCCTCATTAATGAATACTTCCGTATGAACAACAGGATAACATTAATAAAACAATGAGAGTCTATTTATTCACCAAATTTAACTCGGTATATGTACAGAAGATACCAAAAGTCACTTGTCGGTAAATAGTTGGCATATCTCCATTCGGTTTTGAGTCAGTGAGCTAACTTTTTTCTGATGATAGAGTGATGATCCAAGTTTATCTTCATAAATCAACAGCTTATTGATTTTAGTTTAGAAAAAAGCAAATTGCATGAAACTTTCAGAATATGTTGGAACTGGTGTAGAGAGGCTATGATGAAATTTTCAGCTCTATACTATGATGTTTTCGGGAGATATTCACCCAACAAGGGTCAAGAAGGTTTTGTATGGCAACTCAAAATTCTTCTCTGGCCTTCATTCTAT